CTTGGACTTCATGGCTTGGTTTGTGCTCTGACATCAACTGTGGGACCTTATATAGACAGGCGTGTGCCTTTCTAAATCATGTCCAATCAACTGAATTGGTGGACTCAAGGATGATCAATGGAAACAGGATGCACCTGAGCTCAAATTTGAGTGTCACGGCAAAGGCTGTGAATACTAATGTACATGTGATTCTTTAATTAATTTGCAAAAATTTCAAAAACCTTTTTCACATTGTCATCACGGGTTATTGTGTGTAGAATTTTGAGGGAAAAAATTAATTTAATCCATTTTGGAATAAGGCTGTAACAAAAGTGAAGCGCTGTGAATACTTTCAGGATGCACTGTATGCTGCTGGTCATTTTCTTAAGCATGCCATTTTTGTAGATGCAAACATTTGATTTTGTTCACTTCAGTAGATGATAACCACCTTGCTAAGATTGGATCTATGCTTTAAATACAAAAGTATTCGCAGTTTAATCTAAAGTAGTGTTGCACAGTAATGCAGTCGAGAACACGTCACATTTGAAAATGGTTGTTAGATGACTGGTGCGTTCGTGTGCTCGCTTACAAATCAGATAAACAATTTGGTTTCTTGGAAGTTAGCAGAAGTTTTTAAGAGAAAAAACCATGAAATTCACATTATGTATTTTTCTGATTTGTGTCATCGTAGTTTAGGATTTCACTACTATTCAGCAGCAGTCTCCAGTTTGTTGTTACAAAATTCCTTCTCTAGCAGGAGAACACACCAGACTGGCCAACTTTTAACAAAACCCAAGCATGATGTTAGCTATTCTATCTCAAGCAAGTTTTCTGTATGTACGAATTAATGGTTCTGTGATCTCCAAAGTCTTCGTGGAAGCTCTCTCCGGAGAAATATGTGAATTTTCTCTCCCTCCTCCACTTAGGGAGTATGCGGTGAATGAAGTGGTGGCTGGGATTCGGGAGTACTTTAACGTCATGCTGGGCACTCAGCTGCTTTACAAGTTCGAGAGGCCGCAGTATGCTGAGATCCTGGCTGAACACCCAGACATGCCGATGTCTCAGGTGTATGGAGCTCCTCACTTGCTGCGCCTATTTGGTAGGGACCCTGGACACCCTGAACACACACATATACATATATATCCCATCCAGGACTGCAGACTTAACTTCACCACTGTCTCTAAACTGTAGCTAAGTGGTCGCAGTCTGGAGCCCTGCTGTCTGTACCATTATAAGTGCTTTCAAACTGTTTAATTGAATTCTGAGAAAATTATTCTCATACAGGTAAACATAGCTGTTGGAGTTGATTAAATGTTACATTTTTATAATTTCCGTCTTTGTTATCGAAATATGAAATGTTCTCGACAGAAGCTTGAACACTGCGAGACTAAAGAAAGACGCTTTTTCCAGTCACTCATTGAGATAATCACTGTTGTTTTTTTGTTAAGTGACATTTCTAATTAGCACCTACATGTAGAGACTGTTTTCAGTGCTTCCACTCTTTTGTCCAGAAAAGAAAGAAAATTAATCCTAGACCTAGCTATTATAGCAATGTTTTTGTGGTATTAGAGATTACACACCCACAGTTTAAAATAATGTACTCCAAACATTTAAGTTGTATGGCTTCACCATACAGTGAGCAGTGTAAATGATGCATATGCACAGCTGTTTGCTCTTTTCTGTGTAAAAATAAGCTCTCCATTATTGTGTTATTTACTGATATTAACACTCAGGTTAAGTAATTAATAATTACTTTTTACTGAGGTGAAGTTTCACACTAAGATGACTCGTCTGATTTGATTACTGATGTTAATGAACACACCTGACTTCACAAATTTACGAGGGTCTAACAGTAGTCGAGCATAACAGCTAATTAGGTTTTAACAATTAAAATGAAAACTTACAAACAGGCTTGATTATAATGACTTCTCTGTATGTCTTTAGCATATGAAGTGGCAAATTAAATCCTTAAAGTCGAGCAGGTTTACATTTTACTGAGATCTTTCTATATTGTTTCTACTGACTATCCTTTTGATTACTCTGGTTGTATTAGACACATTTGTGTTTCCGTGAATTACTTACTTTACTTGTTGCTTCATTGCAAGTCTTATATAAGTATATATATAAGTGCTCATATAATTTTTGCTTGTTCCTTTTCTTCGTCGAAATCAACTGAATTATTAATGGTATGTAAAGTTGGTTTCACACATTTTGGGGGATGTATATATGTTATTTTATGATTTATTTATTGGTATTTGTTGTTGGGTTTTTGGTTTTTTGTTCTAATTTAAGTGAATCATTTATTGTAATTAGGCTTGACTGTTGATATTCTTTTATGTGACATGTATGTTTTTTATGGGGCCCATGCTTTTATTTGTGCGCCCTCTATGGGTGATGTTGTGTCCAGGCCTTATGTGCTGGGTAGAAAGCCACTCACAGCTGGTGTATAATTCAGATTTATCAAGTGTTTATCAGACCCTGATGAAGACCTGCTGCCCATATTCGAAGAAAAAATGAATTATATTAATTCATCTATAGAAGGAGTGCCTTTAATATTTTTCCATGGTTATCTATAACACTTGACCTTAAGCAAGATTTCCTGGATTTCTGTTTTTCTATCAAGTATTAAATTGCACTAACTGCATTAGCCAAGAAACAGACAATCCCCTTTTTGTTATTTTAGTATTTTTTCAATAGAATTGCCAGGAAATTTACTATATAATGAAACACATTTGTATTGCAGTATGAAAATACAGAGCATTTTATCCACATTGCTGTTATTGTAACTGAAAGTAATATGTTTTTTATTTTTAAGTCAACAGCTTTTTTTTAAGCAAAAACCACTTATCCCTAAAACAGCAGATTTACTGTATTATGCCTGCCTCAGTTGTTTAAAGTAGTTATATTATCTCAAACACTTAAATGCTGTATATATCTGATTTATGATTTTGCCAAATAATCGATCTCACAAACTTTCCCCTCTGTGAAGCATGTTTTTTCACACAGTATTTAAGATTTAAAAAAAAAAGAACAATATCAATCCTGAACCTCCTTCAGTCTGCAGTTTACTTCTGCATCGTTCCTCACACATGTTCTCCTTCCCTGACAGTTCGTATTGGAGCCATGCTGGCCTACACTCCACTGGACGAGAAGAGTCTGGCTTTGCTGCTCAGTTACCTCCAAGATTTCCTCAAGTAAGGTTTAACTCCTACCACGCCACCAGGGACTGCATGTCATGTTTGGCTGATTCTCAAATGTCATGTTACATCCACACTCATATTAGTGCAGCCAGCCTTGTTGCAAATCCTCGAAACATAAGCCATGAAATCGATTTTCTGCTCTGAAAAGTATTTTGGCGTAGACTGACTGTAAACACAACAGCATTTTATGACAGACGTATCTAAGGTTTAGGTACTTTGGGAAGAGTATTTTAAATGTTTGCACAGGTGATTTGTGTATGATTCTTTTTGATAAATTATGTAGAATCTAAATCAAAACAAACACAGAACATGTCTGTCTCTGTCCGTACGGCACCGCAGACGTACTGTTAACGACTGAAGTAAAAGAGACTCTCTGGTGTTGAATGGTGACAGTATTCTGATCCTTTTAACTTAAAGTACTAATACCACACTATAAAAATACTCTTGTTACAAGTTAAAGACCTGCATTCAAACTAAAATAAGTATTATTAGATTGGAAATACTGACACGTGAATGTGTAAACGGCATTTTACTGTCGAAGCCAGTTGAGGCTGAGTTTAGTCCAGTGGTTCTGGGAGTCAGTAACCTTCAACAAAAGTTCTCAAGGAGCACAAATGACCTGGAGTAGCTTTTATTTATGTGGAAGTGAAGTCTGACTAGAAAACTGATAAATGTTGTACACATGGGTATATTTTCTTGAATTATTACACTGCTACATGCATATATGCCAGTCTGGCTTTGCTCTGGTGGTACCGTTCATACTGTTAATGAACCCGAGACACCACATTTAAGAGTTAATTGAGTCATATTATCAGGATAGAAAACGTCTGGTCGAAATGTCTGTGACTACACTGCTGATGAAGTCCGTTAAAGAAAACTTGTAATTGGTGGTTTCTTTTTTTATACATTGCTCCGTTGAGTCAGACACCATAAAACTGTGTGACGATGTCTGAATTAAACACGTCTCTACCTAAAGAACTTATATTTAATGAAGCAAACACTTGAGATATAATCATTTTCCCTCCTTCACCTAACTTTCTGTGAGTCCTGCAAACTGAATTTCCTGTGAAGAGCATTCTCTTATCTTGTCACATCTAATGTTTATCCAGACAAACCTTGTTAAATTCCCAAATGAACAAGACTCCTATTGGGACTCTGACAGGTTAGAGGTTTGAGTGATAACTCTTCCACTCTTTTAAATCCCCTCCGGAGGCATTCAGACTCCGCTCTTATCGAAACATAAAAATTATTTTGTATATTTAAAACATTTGTTGGTAATAGAATTTGCAAGCTGAACGAATTTTCAACAATGACTATATTTCCTCTCCCACCATCACAATCAATTCTACATTTTCTCCAGGTACCTGGTAAAGAATTCATCCACCCTCTTCACTGCCACTGACTACGAGGTCGCACCCCCCGAGTACCACCGCAAAGCTGTGTGAGAGCTCTCAGCACACAGCGGCCCTTATTGAGGCACGTCATCCCCGTCTCCCAGACCACATGTAAAATAACCATTACTTCCCTTTTGAGTGCAGACTCGGATGAGATTTTTCACTTGAACTGATACACTTCCACCACAAAGGTCTCAGGAGCTTGTCACGGTTACGTAAGAAAATACATTTTTAGGAAAACTTTTTTTTTTTTTAGCTGAATCTCTTTTTTTCTCTCATTTCTTTGAAAAGTTGTGTTTTCTGTTGACAAGTTTTCTGTTTCCACAAGCAGCTCTTTGGTGTTTTTGTGCATTCCACCTGATAGATATTTGTTACCGTTGCATGTATGTATTTATTAGTGCTTCTTCTGCCATATGAGGTGCAATTTAATGCTGGACCACGTGGTCAGCAGTCAGCAGTTAATGTTTTTGTATCTGTATCATGTGTATTTGTATCAATTTGTAAAGAAAAAAAATGTTTCTACACAATCTGTGTTTCCTGTGTCTTCTTGTGAATATCTTTAGTAAATTATTTGGTGTCTTTGCTGTTCTTTCAAGATGCATTTTGTAATGTGTCACTCACTAATGGAGGAAAGACTTGCGGTGGCATCAAGTCATCATAATCCGACATCAAAGACGTACACTGTAGACTGGGGCTTTAATATTCATATGACAAGACAGCGAGCAAAAAAACATTCATCTTTCATGCACGTGTTCAGTTCATTAAAAATATAAAATTGTGTCACATGAAGGAGCAGTAATCATGACAAATCAATATTGATTGAAATCCAAAGTACCCACAATTTTTATTAAACAAGGGGAAATAATTGGAAGCAAGTTTTAAGACTTGTCGAAGACAGATGTTATTGTCAGTGAGTTATAGACTACAAAATACATATCCCAAGATTAATATGAACAAATTATTAAAAAACAAGTTGGGAATATAAATCTAATTCTTAACATATAGATAATTCTCTCAGAAGGATCATTAAATTCTACAGAAGATATCAACTTGAGCAAAGCTTTTTATTTTTAAATCCAGTTTTATCCAGGTCCTGTTTAATAACTATATGTCCTGGGTTTTGGTATGAGGTATAGATTGTTTATATTATTTTTGAAATATCCAACACTAAAGCACAATATCAGCTGACATGATCCAGACTCCTCTGTCCTCTATTGTTTGAGGAAATATTTAACTCCATATATATTGTGCCAATTACCTAACTGTTATATCGTCCTTTTGTCTATGTCTCCATGGCAACAGCGTTACCATGGAGACATAGACTGCAGTTGCTGTGCCGTCCGTCTCGACTGGAGGCGCAGTGACCTACACAATAAAAGCCCTGTTCAACATGTAATCCTTCAATTTTTCTCTGTTTTCACTAGAAGGAAAGGGTTTGTAGTCAAGTATGAAAGTATATTTAAAAGTGTAAAAGTTGCATAAAACGGAAATACTCCACCACAGTTTTAGTTAGTAGTTACTTTACAGAGCAATAGAAGAAAATATAATCAATGATCAAATAAAATTATATTGTAATATTATGGATAGATAAGGTATGAATTTATTGATCCAGTAGATAAAGTGTATGAAATGATTAGTAGCCCCACCCACCATGAATGAATACATCAACTATTATACTACAATATAAACCATTATTCTGAAATAGTCTATTCTGCATAATGAGTACTTTTACTTTTGGTACTTTACTCATTTGAACGACTTTTTATAGGACTGTAACTAATGATTACTTTCATTTTGCATTAATCTCATTAAATGAAAATGTCCATCGTCCTTGTCCAGCTTATTGTGCAAACTTCAAAAAGACTTAAAAATAAATAACATTTAGAAAACAATCATAATTAGGAGAGGCAGCAAATTTCTTCAGACTTAAATGATTATCAAAATAGCTGCCAATTTATTTTCTGTTAACTGACTAATTGATTAATCAACTAATCATTTCAGCTGTTCTTGTACTACTGTTGGGTTTAAGAACTAAAGCAGTTAGATAATTACAGTGAAGTAAATATTTCTCTCTGAATGTGAATGTCTCTGATAAGCATTAATTTGAGAAGGACTTGTGACAAAAGGCTGCCAAATATAATAAATAAAGTTAAACCAAATGTAGATATTTTCATATATATATAAAATCGAATTTCTAAAGGAATATTTTAACTATTTTTAATCTTACATCCGTGGATATAGCAACAATTTCTGAGCTGGTAGGAGCTCAAACATGAGCTCCTGAACAAATTGTCTATTATACTATTATAACAATTATAGTAAGTGCTGTTATATATTATCATGTGTAATATCAAATTGTAGTCCCATTCTGTTGTGTATTGATCTATATTGATATAAAATGACAGGATGAAAAGATTTTCCTGCCTCCTTTACTTTATATGGTCTCAGTCAGGTATATAGGTTACAGTGAGCACAGTAATAGTCCCACTATTTCTAAGCTACACTTGAAGCAGATTAATATGTTTTATCCAATGTTTACTGAAGATAATAGATAGTAGATAGCTAAGTTTGAGATATTTTAGATGCTTGTTTTAAGCAGGAAATGTAGATAAACAAAAACACATTTTATTCCAAGTAATAGATAATAATACTGTTTGTATAGTTAAGTAAACAGGTTCAATCATATATATTTATATATATTATATATATTTATTTTATATTTAGATGCAGACAGATATGACTGTTTATATTAGGCATTAATTGCAGATAGGAAGGATAATTCATTTATTTTTATTGGAATTTATTTAAGGTTGTAGACTAGATTACATTATACTTTCCTGTTGCACATGGCAATGATGAATGACTAATTCAGCTGCTTTACTGAGGTAAACGTACATACATTCTTTACTCAAGTAGAAATACAGATAAATACGTCTCTGAAGGACATTTCTGATGTTTCTGTGTAAAGCAAACTTCAGATAAGGTCGAGTCTCCCTGTCCAGATGTTGGGAAGGCGTGCAATGATGTACAACATATTAATTAGATGCGAAGATTAGATCAGCATGGATCACTTTGATTTCAATCCCCCGAAGGGAAACCCTGGGTCGTCCTACGCAGCCAGGTACCAGCTTAAAATCACATAGAAATAAAATAACATACAATAGAATAACAATCACTTACGATACGGCCCACGAAAGATAGAAAAAATAAGCAAGAAGGTACCAGGTGCGCAAAGAGGTTCGTAAGTTGCAGATGGTGTAATATCTGCATACTGCGATGGTAGTGTTAATGTGTCTATATAACCAATTTTCTACGCTAATATAACACGCGTCAACTCAACGGGGGGGACTCAATATTAATAATATTTATTATCGATGATTCCCCTCAAATGCTTTAAAACTTAAGTAACAAGCCTGTTTTGAACATAACATGTTTGGAGTAGAAAGTACAGATATTTGTGTAAAAATGTAGAAAGTAAAAAAAAACTGAAAACTAAATACTCATACCTGAAAAAAAAAGACTAATTAAGTACAGAAAGTATTTGTACTTTGTTACCTCACAACTCTGTAGTAATAACTGTAAATACACGTGTGCTAAATATGCTGAATTGAACATGTAGTGTATAAACATTTACATATAGCAAAATTTTGATTCAACAGTGCCACAAACTGACCAAAAAAGGCTTTAATTTGGATGAGGAGTCTTTGTTTATAAGTTATGTTCTTTTCTAACAAATGTTTTGTCACTGCAACTGTGTTTTTTAAATGTTTTAATTCCTCTATGTGGACTGGGCCTTTATATGAGGGAAGGAAAAACTACTATTACTACAACAGCAGGTGGCCAAAATGGTGCTCGGTCTAACTACTTCATATTGTCAGTTTACACTAAATCAAATCATGTTTTATGAGTTTATACGTTTGTGTGTGTAAAGCAACCATCAGATAGACCAACATTGTGGTGTAAAATGTAGGGATATTACCATAGGTTGATAACAACAAGGCTTACAGCGAGCTAGGTGACACAAAAACAGACAGGTAACCAGGTAACAGACAGTTTGGGGTAGTCATTAAAAATAATCTCCACTGCAGGTGTCGATTCAAGTTGGGTAAACAGCTCAGTAAATAACACATAATTAAGAGCTGTGTACCATGTTTACAGGTTTCCAGGTGTTTCCTGACGTCACTTCAGGTTTTTTCCTGCCCCTTGTCCCAGGATGTCTCCAAACTTCTCCCAGCGACACTTTAACAAGGAAGTCCCGCCCCCCTTCCGCCGCAGCCCATTGGTTGAAAAGTAAACCGGGTTCCGTTCGATTGGCTCAACGGGCTGTCAATCAAAAAGCAGCAGAGTACAGTGTGCGGTTAGGCGTCAGGTGAAACTCGCTCCGTAAGAAAAAAAAAAAAGGAGGGATCTGATAAAACTTTACGTCTGAACTTCCCTGTGAACTTTTTCTACTATTTATGAACTTATTCAACAAAAAGGAAAGTTTTAACACCCGGAACCGACACGTTACAGGATGAAGAGCCTCAAGTATCGGTTGAAAAAGCACGAAGTCACCATCACAGTAAGTGTGTGGGGTTTTTTTTTCCTGTATTGAAAGGGTTTTTCAGTGCTCGCATTCCCCGTCTGCTGCCATTGAATTGATGCTAAGCGTTGTGTTTTTCACACCGGGGGTTGCTCTTTGTTTGAAACCCTGACCTCCTGTCCCTCCACAACCACATTAACCTCGGTGTTGTTCCCACAGCGGCGGTGGTTGGAAAACTCACCGCCAGCAACTTTGAGCACCTGCAGCCTTCTGAGCGGGCGGTGGATGTGGCCTGACACACTTTTATGACCCTGCATGCACCTTCAGGGTTCAGGGTTTTTATTTTTTATGGTCTGGCCTAAATCTATAAGCAGCTGACTGCGTTGCTGTTGCTCACAAAGCGCGGTCACAGGAAGAAAAGCTCCGCAAATCAGTGCGCACCAAAAAAAGTGCCTGTTGTTATCACCGAGGGGGGGGGGGACACCTCTGAAAATGGTGTTTTTTTGACCGAGGTTTTTTCCTTTTGTGACTGGGAATAACCTCACGACCCTCCAGAAGCTGCTGCAGGAGGGTGGGGGTGGTTTTCAAATGTAGCCTTCTTGAATGCACCAACAAATTGTGAGAGAAGTTATTGATTTTGAACCTTAGTGGTGTGTTCAAGTATTACCAGTAAGGGTAGATTAGATAAATGTTGGGTAACACCACAAACATTAGTTGCAATAAATGGTTATTTTCTTTATTGAGTAAGCTGGATTGTTTGTTTTGCTTATAAAATGTGAAAATGGTTTTGCACTTGGCCATATTGTGTTTTGTATATTCGCAATATGGCCAAGTGCAAGTTGATAAAAGTAAAATATGTGACTATACAGTATTGCTGCAGAGATGCTTTGGCCTATGAACCTCTAGATGTGAGAAAACATGTTTGTTTCCTACTACAGACCTCAATTAATTAATGATTTTGAATCTTTATGTCAGTGAAAGTTAATTTGTGATGCGAAAAAGATCATTCCTCTTAATCATGAATCATATCGCAAACATAATATCATAATAATCTGTCAAACTAATCACAATATGCTCTAGTTTTTATCCAGAATCACTTTTCTGTCATATCTGGCAAAGAAAAGCAGCAAATCCTCACATTTGAGAAGCTGAAACCAAAGAATAAACGGCATTTGCCCTTGAAAAAATGACTAAATTAATAGGTAAATTATAAAAACACATCAAATCAGTTAACTACTTGATTAATCAGCTAACCTTTTCCACTCTACAGTCTCAAAAATGACCAAAAACCTGAATCAACACCTCAAAACTGAACAGCAAAGGTCAGATGTATTGCAGGGCTGTTGTTGTTATATGTTGGTTTTAGCTTGGTGTACCTAATAAACTGGCATCTGAGTGTATACCTATAAAGAAACGAGCCACTCCTGCAGCAAAATACAGAAGCAATGTTTAAAAAAATATTACATCAAAGCGTCACACTTCTCTAGGATTTGTTGCAATTAGCCATCGAGGCTCCGTGGCACCGTGGAGACATCATAAGTCCCTCCAGGAATGTTACAGTGATTTTGTTCTCGGGTTAAGTCTGCATGTGTTACAGCCAAGGCGTATACTGCATGAATAACATAGAATAATATATAATATAATTCATCACCACCCAACAATTGCCTCTAAAGTTCACTTCTTAGACAGTCATTACAATTCTGCACAGTTCAACAGGCAGTGGGTGTTTGGCACTGTGCTCTGTTTTCAGCTCCCAGCAATTACCATGAGAAAGGCACAAAGCCAGAGGAGCTGTGTGTGGTAAACTATCAGGGCCCTTCTTTTTTTTAAAGGGAGGCGGAGGAGGAAAAAAAAAACCTTTCAGGAATGAAATGGTATTGTATTCACATTTATAGTTGTCTCGCCCCTGCAGTCCGAAGCTGGGACACTCCTTTAAAATTCAAGCAAAGTGTTTTTTGGCTGGCAGCATTTTTTTTAAAAGCCCGAGGAAAAACTGAAGGGAAGCTGCGTTGAAGAAACAAACATGACATTTACACAGGTCTGAGTGATGATTTCATAACATTCCCACCACATTCCTCCGTGTATCCAGATACCAAAGCAAAAAAAAAAACCCAGATCGATGGCAGCTCATTTTAAATGTGTCCTAAAGACAGTGCTGTACCTCACTTCTGATTCGTGCGCTAAATGCATAGTTATCATTCATTTCATATCCGATCATCACCACCTGTTTCGGGTCCACCCAGAAGCCTTTGATGTTCATGAAACATAAATAAACCCTATCAGTCAACACCGCGTTGGAGTGACAGCGCTGAGTCTAATCGAACATGTTTTAGATGCATGCTTTCCTCATTCTGTGCATAATGCCTGGGAGGTGAACTCACTCACTCTTTCCTGGTGGGGTGACTAATAATTAAGAAAAACACTTCTCCCTGTACCGAGTGGGAGAGACCAGGGGGAATTCAGGGGAAACTCGCTTTTAATATGTGAACAAACAGTAACTGGCCAGAGAAAGCAAATCACTGGAGGAACCAGTATCCTCTTCCACTCAGTCTAAATGTATTATCCTCTTATCTCCAGTCAGAATTTATGGATTTACTTGGCATTGTCTGTAAGTGATACTTGTCTTATGTTATTGTCCATTATTCTCCTATCAGGTTTGCCTATCAAGTATTGACAAGAACTTATTTTAGCATAGAAATGATAACTATGCTACTAAACCATTTAAGGTAGCTGGAAAACAAAACTGAAATCAAGGTGTACAGGATGTAAAGTGCTAAAGGCATTCCCTCAATACCAGCTGTAGATTAAAGGCAGGGTGAGGTCTGTAGTTTTGGCCCAGGTTTGGACCATTTAGGGCTCAATCAGTCTCTTGTGTAGTGTGTAGTTTTTAGTTTTTTTGTTAAGAGTTTTGTTCTCATGACCAGCATTGTCAGTATAATTGCCATACACACTTCCAAAAAGAAAGAAAAGAAGGGTTCGAGATATTTTTAAAGCAGCAACAAGGAACTTGTTTTGTGTTGATTCTGGCAGCCCCCGTGGACATAAGCAGTAATGTTTCCATTGTGTCGTTTCATTGATTTCAAGGGGAACCTGACCTGAATTTGACCTTAATAATAGCCACAAAGAAACAGACTCCGCTCACTCACCGGCCTCGTGTTCTTATGTAGGTCAAATAGAGGCATCATTATTAAACTGAGGCTGTTAGAAACTCCTTATAGAAATGTATGACGAGGGCTGCAACTAATGACTATTTTAATTACTGATGAATCTGTTTCATGTATAAAACACTCCCTGAAATAGCTCAAGGTCTGTGCAACAGTCTAAAACCTTCAGATATTCTGTACACAATGATACACATTAGAGAAG